GTTCTCGAATTTTAGCGAGACTAACGAACAGCAATCCATTTTTATATATAATATTATTTTATTGAAATATACTTGAAATATACGTGTATGTTTGAATTCCGCTATAAAATACATCTATATAAAAACCCCTGTCATTATTAAGCTTGTAAATAATTATTTAAGGTAGTCATCTTTGTTGCTCAGATATTTATACAAGGCGTTAAGTTGTTGGAGATCATCTTAGTGGCTAAGATAATTTTTAAGGCGCTTCAATTTAAATTACCGCAAACTTCTTCATATAGATTATTGCTATAATTTTTTGGTAGGAAACAAATCTGAAGTATTCTGAAGTAGTGAATCTAAAAATATCTCTTTAGTTTATCTACGGGTAATTCCAAATTTATTATTATATTATAACATCAATCGGACTGATTGATCGGTTGTTGTTAGCCTTGAGGCTTTGAAAACTTTTTCAATTTGTTAACCTCAATTTTACGCCCGTCTTAAAACGGGCCCCACTTGGAATTGCCCCAATTGGAATACCCCAAACGAGGTATTCCAAATTTTTCATTCACTTTATTATAGATAAATTGATAAACTATTTTATACGAAGCTTTTATCACATAAATGAGGAAATTAGGTAGCTGCTGCTTTGAAATGTGTTTATTTTTTTTGAGGAAGTGGCAAACGAGCTGTTTGTTCACCTGATGTTTAGTGATAACCTCTGCCCATGGACATTTTCAACACCCGTAGCATTGCAGATGCGTTGCCACATTTTATCAAAGTGGGCCCCGGCTACCTCACTCACCAGACTTAACCTGACTTCCACTTTACGCCGGTCTTCTGTGAGGTCCTGGTACTGGTACTTAGGCGGACGGACCTGCGCATTCGTACAACGGCGAAAACTATTGCGTGGTCTTATCACAGCGAAAACCTTTAAATATGTTAGTTATAAAAATTACAGTGCGCAGTTGCTAAGTCATTCGCTTAGGCGCCGTGCGTCGTAAGTTCGATTCACACGGGACTGGCATTTGTTTGACCACCAGATAATTTTTTGGGATCTCGGTATTTGTCGCAATGGTGGTGATATTGATTTGGTGCTGGTATTTGCAGAAAGGCGGCCAATAGTAAAACCTAGTCATTAACATTAACAACATTATTCATATGCGCCGACCTAACCTTGGTGGAATAAAGGCAGGAAGGTGATGATGAGCATAAGCAACCATCAGTCGGCAATAAAAAAAAGTTATCGGTTTAATGAACATAAATATGTATTAAAATAGTATGTTTTAGGGATCCGTGCCCAAAGGGTAGAACGGGACACAATATTACTAAGACTCCGCTTTCTGTCTGTCCATCTGTCACCAGGCTGTATCTCATGAACTACTTACCAATTAGTTTATTATAGATAATGGTACGGAACCCTTCGTGCGCGAGTCCGATTCGCACTTGGCCGGTTTCTATCTTTAATTTGCACTTAGAAATATTATACTAATATTATAATTGTAAAATGTTAATATTAGTTCCTTTTTCACGACGCGACAGAATGGATTTTATCTTATTACTTAATACTTACAGATCAAGTATGCTGTAGGTGTTTGTTACATTAGCTCCAGTTAGCTCACTCATCAGACAAAACGCAAATGTATGATACTGCCACGCCGGTCTTCTGTGAGGCCGTGGTAATTTCTCAATCAACAGCAAAAGCAAAAACTGCTGTATGCCTACTATGACAGAATGATAGGGTTAGGTAGGCGATAAGGTTTTTTTATGTGCGAAAATGCAAATTATAACCGCCGCCCATTATATTTGCAACACCCATAGGGTTGCCACCTTCTAATAGAATGGGCGCCGGCAACTTCACTCAGCAGACGAAACGCAGAAGTGTAACACTTCAAGATCACGCTGGTCTTCTGTGAGGTCGTGGTACTAACCCGGAAGGACCTGGCCATTCGAGCAACAGCGAGCTCTGTTGCGTGGCCCTACCACAGTTAGTTTTATTATAATTATTTTTTTCTTTTGTCGATAACATGTGAACTCATTTAGCTAGACTGCAAGGAGTTTAAGCGCTCCGACTCAAAGCTTCATTTTACGCAGTCAAAGCTAACTGTTAAAGTATTAACCATTCGTAATCAATGTTATTTCAATTTACTATTAATAACATCATTTAAATCGAAAATCTAATTTCACACTTCATTCTAAATTTTAATTAATTCTTTCAAAATCCTATCAATCACAGAAACTCTGTTCTGTCAACCTAATAGAGCAACTCTGTCGGCTGCGTAATACCAGGAATTTATGAGTCAGTCCATCCCATTCCGAGACGACCGTTCCCGTAAATGTTGACTCACGCATTGCCCTGTTCCTTTGGGAAGAGCATTCAAGTCAAAACTCGCTTTATTTTGTTTCCTTTTTCCAGTTAGTTGCATAATGGGATTCAAACAAGTCATGAGTCATGACTCATCTGTAAGCGAATGCACTTGAAAAGAACTTGACACTGTTAGAATTTAATATGTAAATACTATCTTTATATTGCATTTTTATCAATATCTGGCGCCATCTAGTATGCATACTTGACTGTTCGAAACACAAAAAATATTTTACGACGACAATTAGTGACGGGAGATGTCAGCTTCGGGCGAATTACAAGTTCGAATCGCGCAGCATCGAAGGTTATTTATTGTCTATTTATGTACAAAAATACTTATACTAAGTTTTTTCTTGATTACGGACTAGCGCTAAACCTAAAATTATTCATAAAAAAAATTAAATACGTACATACGGATCCTCGGGATAGTTCAAAAGTAACTATATTGTATTAACGTTGGAACCGAAATATATTTACTCTAGCGAAAATAACACTTTAGTAGTTAGCGCTTATGTCGATTGTTGAAACTGGTCGCGTGGGAAGCTGCCGCGCCAAAAAAGGGATACTGGCCGCTTACCTTTCCTCGTGAAAAAAAAAGGGACACAATTCGAGCGGGAACTTAGGTGACCCGGTAAAAAAGAGGTTATTAAGAGGCTTGAATTTTTATTTGATTTAAAATTTTCGTCTTTACACCTCTTCACGCAGACCCGTCAGGGTTGTGCTTAGCATAGTGGTTTTAGTATGGCGGTGGACGAGTTTTGGTTTTCGATTTTGGTAAAATTACGTGGCACTCACTATGTGGATGTGGTAAATTATCTCTTGCGGTTTGGTGAAAGCGCTCCCATGGCTTTTACCATTCAGCTGGTCGTGTCGCACTAAGAGTCGTAAAAAGCTCGCCATGGGGTGGACAGCAACGTACAGTGACGTCACCTATCATTACTGCATGACTATTTTCCCTCATATAGTGAAGCACAGGCTTTGCACTTAGTTAATTCAGTCATAAATCTGTTATCCTCAGAAGACAATATAAAAGAGGGTAGGGGAAAAAATGTCATCACATGATCATACTCACTTCACTGGCAAATGCAAACAAATGTATTTATTGAAATGAAAACAATTTATATCAATTATTACTTTATTTTGAGAAAAGCATTTCATAACTTCGGCGTTATATTACTTAGATATAAAAAAACTCCGTCACAGTTTCTATTTCCCATGACATAAAACCTCTATTTAAATACAAAACGGAGAACGTTACAATGCGAAATCATCGCAATGTACATATCTCATTGGCAACTTCTCGGTTAATCATCGGCTTAGTTTCGATTTGACCATATTTATTTTAAATACAATATATTTTAAACTACACATACTAATGTATGGCCACACCGACTATGTATAAAGATGTTCAAACTCCAGTAATTTACAAACCAGAGATAACTCGTAACATTAACAAGGCATCCGATTAAAACCGATACAAATTTAGTTAGTTTAAATAATAAACAATTCCATTCACTAGCAACTAAGTAATATTAGTCTCTCTTATTAAACTTACAGCTAAAGGACAGATTATTAGGAAGAGTTCGCACAACTGTGCGCAATTAATAATTATTATTGCAGAGATCACAGACTAGATTCTACATTTAAAAAGGTTATTTTTTTAATCTGCATTCTATCCATTGTATTTAATTAAATTCGTCAACACGAGGTAGTAAGCAACCTCTTTTTTTAATTTAATAAAATAAAATAAACATGCAAGCGTTACTTTAAAATTTCACTAATTTCTTCACTTATCCGATAAAAATAATTCAAAATTTCATTTTCACACGATAATGATTTAAACACTACTTTATATATTATGCAGGGAGTCGAGTTTTTAACTGAATTACATAATTATTTACAATTCTATAGAAATCCATTGGGACACCGCTTTATAACATTAACTACATCGATACCTAAAGGACATTGTATACAAAAAAAACCCTTTGGGATAAGTTTCCTTATTTTTTTTTATTCGAACGCCAAACGAGAAGAACTCGTAAAATTTTTGTTTCTCCTGCTAATTTTTAAAAAGCCTCTGAATTAATAAGGTTACGTTTAGATATACGACAAATGCCTTAAGATTTTCATTATTTGAACGGTCAATTCGCTAACAATGTAACAAACTACGCTTTCGCCAAGTAGACGGGATTATTGATCCACGGTGAAATAAAATATATGGCGATAACAAATATTTAACGACCTTGCAACCTTAAAAATCCTAAGTTCTAGAACTGTTTAAAAAACCCACAATTAATAGTACTATAGAAGTATTTTCAATGTGAACTTATTTAAAAGGTAAGTACTAATTGTTCATTACTAAATCATCCAAATGAATGTACTACACTAGTGCAAGTAAAGTCGTGGTATATGCAGTCATTGCAATTCCTAGCAATTTTGACATGCTTAAACAGGAGAAATTGTTACCAGTTAAATAAACACATAATTTATTCATTTTCATGCATACCTAAAAGCTTTCAACGCGAGTGAAAATCTAACTAGCTATATTACATTATTAAATAATCGATAAAATTTCGTCCTCTTCAATAATTTAGAAGCGTGCCTTTAAAAAAACAATGAGCTATCAACTAAGTCTAATAAAAACTCTCCATCAGTTCTCCTTGTCACTCGAACCGGATTCCGTGTGCTTTCTTAAAGTCCAATAATCTGAAACAAGAAAACGAGATAGATTAGAATTAGAAAAAAAAAAAGCATTCATGCACACGCTCGAATCTGTTTCCATAACGACCAAATCTAATTTGACGTTAACGGTCGTGATTCGTATTTTTTGTATGTGAGAAAGTGGCAGGTGGTTAAGTTGATGTTAGGCCGTCTACCACACCTGTGGGGTTGCAGATGCGTTGCAAAACTAAAGTAGGGGGTCCTGTTTGTCTCACATGTAAAATGGCTGAATTATAATACACCCGCGTACGTTTAACAGCAGAAACTGCTGCGTGGCCCCAACACCGCTTTAAAATCTACTTTCAACTGACAGGCATTAACGAATTTACTGTTTCTTGTAGTGTATACGGGTACATTTGAGATTAAATCATCATCGTCATCAGGCGGAATTCGTTAAATAAATAGACGAAACAAAGGCCTCACTCCCGTAGAACGTCACAACGAAAAATAATGAAAATAAATATCCTAAATATGTCCCACTGCTGGCCTCCTCTATACAGAGGGTGTTAGATCCGGGACTTCACATTTCTTCGAAATATTTTTTTATGTTACTATTTCTAAGATCGATTCAAGTCGCTCGATCAAATTATAAAACAATAAATTAAAAAGGATTAATTACTAGGGCTAAGATGAGAGAGGTCATGCCAAATCGGTGTACACGCCCTTAGACGGATCGACCCGGACTCGACGCAACAGACGCGAAAACTTAAGTAACAGTAACAGCCTAAAATGTGCCACTGCTGGGCAAAGGCCTCCTCTGTACAGAGGGTATCAGGGCAAATTCCACCACGCGGCCCAACTGCGGATTGGCGGACTTCACATATCTTCGAAATATTTTTTTTTTTATCATTGTTATCATTTCGAAAATATGCAGGTTTCCTCACGATGTTTTCCTTCGCCGCAGAAACCTCTAAACCTTCGCCTTAAACTCAATAATTCCATTGGTGCCGGCACCGGGGATCGAACTCAGGTTGCTCGAGTATATTGAAACAAAGGCGAGCGCCCGGACACTGAGCTATCACGTCTCCAAAACTTAAGTGCGCTCGTAAAAATGATCTCGGATCGAGTAATTAGGCTGCACAATGTAGTACCTTTGCGTACAGGTACCCGCTTTTTAGAGCTTCGGATATCGACCTCGCCGTTTCGCGAAGTTTACGACCCGTACGAGACGCCATTAAAGTTTTTAAGTGTCCACGAACATTCAAATGCTTAATTTCGGTGGACATGGACGATAATTCAACCTTTATTGCCCGTGGGTGCATGGTTGTCGCATATTAATGCAAATAATAAACGTTATATATTAACGTGAATTAGTCCAGGCCAATGGTGTTAATCGTGGCATTTTTTTGTATATTTTTACCATAACAGAGAAGACGAACGTAGCTGATAATAACTACTTATTCCTGATAGTTGAAACAAAATAGATTAAAGATTTTTTTTATTTTAAAGATCTTTACTTTTTTACTTTTTATTTCCAACGATCCGAACCTTTGGCACTTTCGAAGATCGGATCGGATGGGTGCGAAATGTGTAATACAATAAGTTATTGAACTCGAGTTCATTCCCTTTGAACTTTACACTAAATGTTATTCATGAAACTGAACTACCTCCGACTTCAGATCCGAAGTCATAACCTCATGGCCAACGCCATTCAGTCATCGGGGAAAATGGAGAATCATCCGGCAAAGACCTCATCGTCAAATGAAGAATGCTAATTTGAGCTCTTCATCATGAAACCGAGCCTGGGCTCCTTTGAAGTGTCAGCCGACAAAAGTCGAAACAAAATATGTCGGCACTGTCACAAAGCGTAACGCGTGGACGCTTACGCGGCGTTATTGGATCACAAAACAATTGTAGGTACTTTTATTTAATCTGTGCGAATGCCTGTGCTAAATCGGCTTAGTTTGCTGTTAAATTAATTTTCTGTCTGACGGCATCAACTCTCCATTCTTCTGAGCGATGTCAGCACCATAATATATAGACAGTTTTTTTTTTGTTTTTTTTGTAAAACTATTGTTACGCTTTCAGTCCTTAGACTATAAAAGCTTCATAGAACGCGGAACCGGTGGGCTAGCTAAAACCCACGGGTTTGAGGGCCTCCTCAGTGGGTAGGGCCGCGCATGTACTCATGCGTGCGTTAATTGTGACCAATACAGATGTCTGCCGCTTAAGATACGAAAATAGACGAACCGAATGGCGTAGTGGGTAATGTCTGTAATGACCTTCGCGTCAGAAAGTGTGGGGTTCGATCCCCACTACTGGTAAAAATATTGTGTGATGAATAGTGATTTTCTAGTGTGGGTGTTTATATATGTGTAATATGTATTTATTTACAAATGAAAAAATTGTTTATGAGTACCCAGAGTACAAGCGTTGCTTAGTTTGAGACTAGAGAACGTTGTGTAAAAATGTGTCCTAAAATATTTATTTATTTATTTAAGGGTAACAGGGTAAGTAGTGAAACTGCCTCATTAGATCCTTGCATATTGAGTCGTTCAATACTTCCATATCTCTACATCTTTATCTTTATACATAATTATAATTATTCTGTGTTGGTGTATTTCGCTGAATTATTCCAAAACGGCCGGACCGAATTTGATGAATATTTTGGTGTATTTGAGATTCACAATCCGGTTAACTACAGAATATTATTATAATTATTTTTTCATAATTATTTAAAATGCATGATATAATAATAATATATTTATAATTATAAACCCAACCAGACGAAAAAATAAATAAAAATCCCCATAATAATAAATTTATTTCGGATCTTGAACATCCATGTAGTGTTAGTAATCATATAAGTTTTTGGAACAAATTTTATGGCGTTTACTTTGAAATTAGATTGCGTTTCCGAACAATGCAGCATTCGACGTCAAACACAAAATGAGGATTTAGATATTCTATTGTCACTGTAGGGTTCACATGAACACGAGGAATTATTATCAATATCCTATCAATTAAGGCCATACAGCAACGCTTATGTCCCATTTATGCAATAGTATATATTATGAAGTACCACGACCTCACAGAAGACCGTGAAGTAGAAATATAATACTTCGCCTTTCGTCTGGTGAGTGACGTAACTGGAGTCAACTATTTTAAAGGTTGTCAAAGTATCTCGCCTTTCGTCTGGTGAGTGAGGTAAGTCCACCTTTTTTTAAAGGTTGTCAACGTATCTGCGTGCCCGCAGATGTTGCAAATGTCCATGGGCGGCGGTAATTATTTAACATCAGGTGAACCGTCTGCTCACTTGACAACTTTGTCACATAAAACAACCTTAACAATGAAACGAGTCGTCTTTTTTTGGTCAATCCATAATGATTGTTGAATTTTACACTTGTAATTTATTATTTGGATTATAATAGCAAACATTTGTGTCATGTCATTTTGCTTAGTCGTATACAGCGTGTCGTTACCATCGCGACAATAAATGAACACACATATAGGGGATAACTTTTTAAAGTTGTATTAAACATTTAAATTCTTTAAACATCAATATTTACAGAGTTATTAAATTTTCCAAAACAAAGAATTTTAGAACACCCTTATCTATAAAAGCGTAACGTAAAGTTCATTTGTAAAGGTTACAAAGCATATGAATGGGTTGAATGAATTTAAAAGAGACAAAACATACTGTTAGAAGGAGAGGCTTGTAATGCGACGCTGTGGCGCGAGTTGTATAGGATGTTACAAATTTTGTTTCTTTTTTACTTAATTAGTTTGTTTGAAAAATATATTTTTTTTAATTATGGATTTTGTTTAACGTTAATATTTTTTATGATTATTGGCAAGCAGCGTCAGACGTGTGTTCATTTAATGTCGCGGTGGTAACGACACGCTGTATAAGTGTCACAAAAAAAATGTTATTGCATAAAAATCACACAAAGGTATTCGCATTTCTCTTTTCTAGTTTCTAAGCAAATCCGATCAACAAACTAAGCAAAACAGGATCTGTGTTCATGCGAGTTTATTCTTATTTGTTATTTTTTTTTTCATTATTGAATATTGCTTTTATAATCGCATAAAAATCTGTTGCGAATATTTCTTATATACGTTCCAAATTCTTTTGGGTAGGAACGTTGATGAACTTTTCACCTTTTTAAGTTGTGAAAACTATCTTGTAATGACAAGTGGTTCGTTGCTTGTCCAACAAATGCTTACAAAAATCATAATTTAGGGTACCAGAGCTACTCAGCCTGGAAATCGGCCCACAGCTTTTCAATCTCATGCACCATAAACGAGACAATGACTTTAGGACGTGTCATTGGCTTTGATAAAAATAATCCAACCCAAAAAGAACATGGGACTTATTATAAAAGATATACAATTTAACAACCTCGTACAAAACAAAACAATTGCTCGATCTTTTCAAAAGTTAATTCAAAATAACAGAGTATCTAACCAAGTTAGACAGAGACAGTGATACTGCTGCACAAAAACTGGTTTGTACGGGAGAGTGACGAGGATTTTCGTGATCTAGGGGATAAGTTCTTTTGTAATAGTTGAAAGTTTCGTTATTGCCAAGACGAAGAAAAATTGTTTTTTTTTTTTTATATTTGTGAAATAGTAAAAAGGTAAAAATTCAATAGAATTATCAATGACGTTTAATTAATAGACGCGTCATACGATAGCATCATTACACGAAATAACAGTATCAATTTAACTGCTTGTCATTGACAAATATACATCTATCTATACTTTAGGAATAAGTATTTTAATGTAACTTGGTTGCATCAAGAACAATTCGCTAAGTGGCTAATTTGTTCTTCCAACACACGACAAAGGGGTCCACTAAAACCATTAAAGTTTAAAAATCTAACATTCTACAACAAAAACTTGCCGAAGAAGTCATTGATTTTAATGTCACTGTGACGTACCGACGATTACCATTTAACATCTTAGCAGTTAACAAGCAATCTGTAATCGCAGCTGCCCTGCCAGCTCGATTGTCACCTTCTCATATAAAAAAATTATAACCA